TATATATGCACAACACTAGTGCACATACGGGTAATAGTGTGCATTTGTCTGAAGCATACCAAAGTACCCAAGATAGAGCATAAAAGTGTGCATAGCACATTACCTTCGACACGATGACATATAGAACAAATCAAAGTTAACTATTGAAATAAGTACTGAGGAAAAAAACCTCCAAAATAAATAAATAAATAAAAACAATCATAATAAATGAAATGAGGAAATCTCATATTTTTCCATTTCTACCATAAGTGAAAGGAGGCAACTTCAAAGACCACAACCATGAAGAATCTTATTCTACCATAAATGCATTCCTAAAATCATGCATAACATCTTAATCAAATAATCTACTCATTTAAATTGCTATTCAAATTTCGTATTTGCCCTTATTAATTTCTTCTGTATTAATTAATCTCTATATTTTTGGAATCATCTCATTCATCCAAACCAATAATTTAAATTGTTGTCCTTACGTTCTTATATATGATGTGTGCATTTTTTTGGTGCCTTGTGTGCATTTGTAGAGCGGTGATGAGTTTCGGGACCTGCTTTGTAGAGTTTGTGGTGCTTATCACTTGCGTTTTGTCATTGTTTTTGTTTTTTAGCGCATGGAGCTCAATCGGTGCACTTGACGGGTGTGTCATGGATTTTTCATCGGGTGGAACGAAGTACTGGTAACCAACTTGTGACGAGTCTATCAAGCCTTTTATTGGGCAACGTTTTGATAATTTGGAGCATGGTGTTGATTTATATAAACATTATGGATAGTGTGCACTTTTTTGTACTATTTTGTGCATTTTAGGTCCATTGTGAGAAAATTGACAAATAGCACTGTATTAACATATTTCAATAGTTTAGACGTTTTTTAAGTAGCTATGTCTGCGCAATACACAAATTCTCATAAATGAAACAACCGAACAACAATGAAACACATGTCCAAAAGATGATAAAATATATGAATGAATGCATCTCATGTAGAATGCACAAAAATGGCCACATGAGTGTACAGAACTACAAACAACCTATATATGCACAACGCAAAACACAAGTGTACATATGAGTAATAGTGTGCCTTCGTCTGAAGCATACCAAAGTTCATACGATTGAGCATAAAAGTGCACACAATGCACTAAAAAATCAAAGTCAACCATTAAAATAAGTAATGATGAAAAACACTCCAAAAATAAATAAATAAATATTAATCAATAAAAAAGATTGTCCAATACAAGCATAATAAATAAAATGAGTGAATCTTAGATTTTTCCATATGTAGATGAACATTCCATACACACAAAGTACTAATTTGTCCTTAAATGCTAATCTTTTTCCTTTTTTGAATGCTAATTACATGGGATTAATAATGAACATTGATCTTTTGTTTTATACGGCTTAGATTAGTTCTCATGTGAGAAGGGGTTCTCATAGGATCATCACCCATATGCTTGTGTTCAAATGAGAACACTTCCTTAGTTGAGAACGTGCAAACAAGCATGAGTGCATACAATATACTCCCAAGCATGCCTGGATGACGGTGAAGACCTTGGAGTAGATTATGTACGCTTATGTTTGTTCGCACCTATGAAAGTGTTTTCATTTGAACACAAGCTTATATAGGGGCACGCTCAGGTGAGAATGGATGCCCAGAAAAGAACTGAGAGCCAATTGCAGTCGTCGACATGTCCAAATTTCACGGATCAGATATAATTTTTTTTAAAGACGTGGTGGCATTTTCGTAAATAACTCGAACTTTGGTGCAAGTAACATGTGTTAAAAGTGCAAGTAACTGGTGCAAGTGTGCAAGTAAAATCACTTAAAAGTGTAACTTTTACTTAATAGTGCAAGTAATTTTAACTTTTAAAATTGGTGCACCTAATGATAACGTCTTTCCCATTGGTGCATTTAATGATAACGTTTGGTGCAACTAATGATAACGTTTGGTGCACTTAATATTGATGTTCAGTGTACATTATTTGTTGTATTTTTAATACATTTTATTTGCACTTATAATATATTTTACTTGCACTTAGGTGTACTATATGAAACTGTTACTTGCACTTTTAACACAATTTACATGCACTTCAGAGTTCAATTATTTACAAAAATGCCACCGCGTTTTTTTAAATAGTCTTTCTGGTCCGTTAGATCTAGACATGTGGACGATGTGATTTGTTCTCAGTTCTCTTCTGAGTATGTGGTTGTCACTTGATCTGTCTCATATATATATATATATATATATATATATATATATATATATATATATATATATATATATATATATATATATATATATATATATATATATATATATATATATATATATATATATATATATATATGTTAGGAATATATTGTAAATTTTGATGAGCCGAATGTATTTTTGAAAAATCAAGTAGTCCCCATTTTTTGTTCTATTTGAGTCAGTTTAAGTCTACGGAGTATGGTGCACCCATATCATGCAACCCATGTACAAGTCTGGAAGATCATAATTTATTTGAAGAAGTTAAGCGGGATTATAGCTTAACACAATTATGATGCGGATAAGTCACCAAGAACCGTGTTAGAGGAGTTGGAAGAAACACGTGTGAGCTATGCTAAATGATCTTAAGTTCCAATCTTAAGTGAAGCATTTTTACCTTGCTTGGGAGACTAACCTCTAGGAGACTAGCTAACAAAATTGGAGACTAGCTGGGAGACTAACCCACCAAGAGGGAGACTAAGTAAATTGGAGACTAACCAAAGTGAATGCACAAGTCTCACAATAGCCATGCACCAGATGAAGAAACACACCAAGAATGGTGGACCAAGCTTAAAATCGAAACAGAGCATCTCACAATGAACAACTATGAAGCTTTTACAGAGGTTCCAATATATTATTTTACAAGGATCATGAAGGAGAAAATATCTGATATATTTTCATCTGAACATCAAGTTTTTACGGTGGAACCGGAGACGCTCGAAGAAGGCTGATTCGCGGAGAAATTGTTTTATACTCAAGCAAGAATCAGCAGATAAATTATTTGATCAACTTGACATGTCAGAGCATTTATGAAGGACAAGAAATATCAAGCTTGCCGCGCCGAACTTATTCAAATTTTGGAGGCTACAAAATTCAAGACACGGCAACGGGCAAATTATTCAAATCATCTGACAAAAGGAGAAATGACATCTACCTAATATTTCAGATCAAGTTGACAATATCTTTTGATTAACTACAATTTAAAATGGACGATCGAGATCGAAAGTTGATCAACGGGCAAATAGTTTTCATTGGCTATAAATTGCCCAAGCAGACTTGAAGACAAACATGAATTCAACGACTTGAACAACGGCTAAGACATACAACCAAAAGATACAAGCTATATTTCTAATTAGCCGAAAAGGGGAAACAGAGCTTCATAGAATTACATTCAAGTCTGAGTGAGAGGGAAATTTTATCTCTTTGTAATATTCTCTACTGAGTGTAGAAAGAGGGCGGAGTAACTAGAGAGAGTGAAAAACCCTGGTTGAGTGTAGCTTTGTGCGTAGCACTCGTTGTAAAGGGCAGAGTAACAAGAGGAGCTTGTGGAAACCCTGTGAGAGTGTAGCTTTGTGCGTAGCACTCGTTGTAAAGGGCAGAGTAACAAGAGGAGCTTGTGAAAACCCTGTGAGAGCGTAGCTTTGTGCGTAGTTCTCGTGGTGAAGGAGTACAGCTTGGTGTGAAGTACTCGGGAAGGCGGAGTAACAAGAGGAGCTTGCGAAAAACCTTGGTGGAGTGTAGCTTTGTGCGAAGCACTCGGAGAAGTGTCGGTGGACACTTATTCACTAATGTATCTGGGTGATCGAAGAATAGTGAATTTCCTCCTTGGAGTGAAAGGAGAAGAGTGGACTAGGAGGATTACACCACCTCTGAACCACTATAAATCTCTCTCTATTTACTTATTGCTCATATATTTTGTGCATGCTTTTTATAACTGCGAACTAACCCGATTACGATTTATCACATATCTTTATCTGTCTGGGTTTGATAGTTTCCACGTTTGCATGCAAGCCACACTTTACGTATATCATCCTTGAACCATATCAAGTGTTTCTAACGTGTTGCATGTTTAGAATCTCTCTTTGAGCACCGCACTTTTAAGCATGACACTTTAACCGCTATCTATTCCGCTGCACACTCTAAGTTGTTTATCTTGTTAATGCTTGTTACTTAGAGTTGAAATTACCAAAGTGTTATTTGCCTTGTGTGTTTTCGAAGAAAGTTTGAAAAGTTAGAGAAGTCTATTCACCCCCCCTCTAGACTTCTCGCCACCCTTTCGGGACCAACAATATATATATATATATATATATATATATATATATATATTGTAATTTTGCATATTCTCTTAATCTGAATATTGATTTAGTTTCTAGCAAACTGTAAAATAGACTGACTGACTTAGATTCTCGATTAAGCAGTCATTCAGATAGAAAGGCAGATATAGCGCAATGCGGAAGACAAAGGCAGAAAGTAAATCAACACATATGTTTGTTTACCCAGTTCGATACAGTATGTATCTACATCTGGGGGACGATCACCGATGCGTCCAATCCACTAACTCATCATCCAATGTACAAAGGTAGAGAAAAACAATCTCACCCAAGTGCCCCACACAAGGTCAATACCCAGTCTACAAAGGTTTAGTGGATTGTTGAAGTCGGAGAGCCACGCATTCAGGAGTCCAATGAAATCCCTTCAATTGGAGAGTTAACTCTGATGCAATCCGCTTCAATGACGCAGTCCCACGTTGTTCCCACAACTGAGTGATCTTCGCGTCCTGTCGTTTAAGCAACGTTGATACTTCTCAAGTTCTTCTTCGTAATCACCAAGAACTTATTGTATTGAGAAGAGGCATGACAACCAGAGATGTGTATTCTGTTTAGTAAGAGTGTTGCGGCTTCAATCAATGCAACCCTAACTTCTGAGCGAATAAGAATATATATACTTCTTTGATTTGGACATTCTCCAAATATATATCTGATTGTAGATGGTAGGACTTTTTGCGAAGAAAGAAATCTTAAGATTCGGTCCATACCTCTCAAGCTGATTCGCTGATATTCTTTCCAAAACCATCATCTCATAGCCGCGTTCCAGCTTTTAGAAACTTTCCTTTATCAGATCTTCGGTGGCTTGATCTAGAGGTGCCTCTGTTGAGTTTACTGATCAATCAGTCTTCTTCAAGGACAAACAGACACCAAGCTAAACCCTATCTTAATTTGCCATAATAATATTGCCAATTATATTCTGAGATTTTCTTAAAGAAATAAAACACTAACACACACACACACACACACACACACACACACACACACACACATATATATATATATGAAATTCAGTTCAGTGCAGTTGGGTGTGTCCCGTGCGATTGTGCAGTTAAATCTGATCCACTGATCTTGCCTAAATCAATGTCCAAGAATAACAAAATTAAAAAAAAATTGCAGTGGCAATTTGGTAATTTTTGAATCTAGGTCAAATTTAAGGAGCGTGGTTTTCCTTATAAGGTGCGTGATTTTCCTTTTTAAGATACGTAGTTTTTGTGCTTAAGGTGAGTTATTTTTGTGTTGTGTGATTAAGGTGCGTCAGTTGTTGAAAACTTAAGTGCGTCGATATAAAGGTTTTGGTCCGTGGTTTTTCTTCTTAATTTGCGTTGTTTACCTTCTTAAGCAGCGTGGTTTGTGTGCTTAAGGTGAGTCAGTGGTTGAAATTTAAAGTGAGTCGGTCTAAAGCTTTTGATGCGTGGTTTTTCCTTCTTAAGGTGCGTGGTTTGTATGCTTAAGGTGCGTCAATTTTTGAAACTTAAGGTGCGCCATTTTAATGCTTAAGGTGCATCTTTTTTAATTAACCACACAACCACACGAGAAGCTATACCCGCATGGCCGCATTTGAACCCTTATATATATATATATATATATATATATATATATATATATATATATATATATATATATATATATATATATATATATATATATATATATATATATATATATATATATATATATATATAGGGTAGGGTTCTAGTGAGAACATGTGCTTAGGTGAGAACATGAGAACACATCATGTGCATCCATCTAATATTTTTTAATGGTATAAATTAGATTAAGTGTGTGCGAACGCGCATTAAATGTGTGCAAACACACTTAATCGCGTTTGCACACATTTAATGCGCGTTTGCACACACTTAATCTAATTTAAACCATTAAAAAAATATTAGATGCATGGATGTACACGATTTGTTCTCACGTTCTCACCTAAGCAGGTGTTCTCATATTATCTTAAATATATATATATATATATATATATATATATATATATATATATATATATATATATATATATATATATATATATATATATATATATATATATATATATAATTCAGTTCACGTGCGGTTGTGCGATTAAATATGAGACATTGATCTTGCTTCAATCAACGTCCGTCCAGGATTACCAAATTTTTTTATAAAAAAAACGCGATGACAATTTGGTAATTTTTGCATCTAGGTCAAATTTAAGGTGTGTGGTTTTCCTTCTTAAGGTGCGTGATTTTGGTGCTTAAGGTATGTAAGTTTTGTGCTTAAGGTGAGTGGGTTGTGTGTTTAATGTGAGTAGTTGTGAAACTTGTGGTTCGTGATTTTTGTGTTTAAGGTGTGTGAGTTTTGTGCTTAAGGTGCATGGGTTTTGTGCTTATTGTGAGTAGTTGTTGAAACTTAAGGCGTGTGGTTTTCTTTCTTAAGGTGCATGATTTGTAGCTTAAGTTGCGTCAGTTGTGTGAAGCTTAAGGTGAGCCATTTTAAAATCTTATGTGCGTGGTTTTTGTTCTTAAGTCTTTTGTTGTGTGCTTAAGGTGCGTGGTTTGTGTACTTAAGGTGCGTGGTTTGTGTTCTTAAGGTGCTTTGTTTGTGTGCTTAAGATGCCTGGTTTATGTACTTAAGGTGCGCCATTTTAATGCTTAAGGTGCGTCAACCGCACGAGAAACTATACTAGCTATACTCACAACTGAACCCTTCTATATATATATATATATATATATATATATATATATATATATATATATATATATATATATATATATATATATATAGAGAGAGAGAGAGAGAGAGAGAGAGAGAGTGTTAAGTTGAGGTGCGGCCCCGCTTTATCGTGCGGTCAGTGCGGCCGCATCAATGGTTAAGCGAATATACACCATCAACGTTAAGAAATGAACTACAAAAAACACACAAATTAGGTATGCATCACCAAAAACACACCATTAATTATGAATAAAAGCACCACACAGTGTTCGGAAATACAGCATTAGGGGTGGTGAGTTATATGGTATATTTTTTTAGGTGTGTTGTGTATTTTTTTGGTGTATTTTTACACTTCATTGTTGTGTGTTTCCCTTACACTATTGGTGTATTTTCAAAACGGCCGCACAGGAGGGTGCGGTCACATTTAAGCAATTATATATATATATATACTAGCATTTTTGTACGCGCGATGCGCGAAAATATATGCCCAATATTGGGTGTTAGCTTAGTATTATTTGTAAATTATTATTATATAAATTTTTTTTTTTGATCACTATTATTATTTAGATATATGATAATTTAAAAGTATCATCACTTTAAGGAATTGAGAAACATAATTTAAACTAATTTTTTAAATTTTGTTACTTAACAATATTTTAATATTGGGCATATGTTTTCGCGCATCGCGCGTACAAAAATGCTAGTATATATATATATATATATATATATATATATATATATATATATATATATATATATATATATATATATATAATTTAACATTCATATAAATATTTAATTAAAATATAATTTATAATTAAATTAATTGTTATATGATAATTTTAATATAATAAAATGATAAGTAAGAATAGGAAAAAGATATGATAGATGTAGGTGTATGGTAAGATTGGTGGATATATTAAATACTAACGGTGTTATAACGGTGTAAGGGTGATTTTGTCCAATACAAATGAATTGTACAACAATTAAAGCAAAATGTATATATTTATTAGCATATAAAAAGGGACAAAAATCAAGGACATAACTTGTATTGATACATATTATGTTTATATATATATATATATATATATATATATATATATATATATATATATATATATATATATATATATATATATATATATATATATAGTAAGGTTCAAGTGCGGCCGGGCTGTTAGGTGCGACAGTGCGATCAATTTTCATCCATTGGATTGCAGCGAATCAACGCACCAGATTCTTTTCCAATTCGCGCCTATGAGCTCCAATTCCACGACGTGTAGGGACAATTTTGTCCGATCATAGTGTTGTGTATTTTATGTTCGTTATTGGTGCATTATTAACCTTACTCTGGTGTATTTGTGAATTCGTGTTTGGTGCCAAGTTCAGGTGCCCTGTGCGGTCAGTGCGGCCGCACCAATAATTATACAAATATACACCATCTATGTTAGAAAATGCAAACCAAAAAACATGCACAAATTAGGTACGCATCACCAAAACGCACCATTAGGTATGACTAAAAGCAACACACAGTGTTCGGAAATACACCATTAGGGGTGGAGAGTTATATGGTGTATTTTTTGGGTGTGTTGTGTGTTTTTGTTGTATTTGTGCATATCATTGTTGTGTTTTTCCTAACACTATTGGTGCCTTTTGTTAACACTGTTGGTGTATTTTGTCAAGCGGTCGCCATAAATGGCCACTGAAATTACGATAACACCCCTCACTTACCCAAACATGCTTAAATCCTCAAATCTTCAGTAATTAGTCACTACCGTTAGATTGCAAAGATTGGGCGGTGCTGATATAGCCACACCGCTGCACCTAAGGGGCTGACCGCATTTGAGCGATATATATATATATATATATATATATATATATATATATATATATATATATATATATATATATTGCACGTTTTTGGAGCGTTCAGTGGTTTAATTGCACTTTTTTTTTTTTTTTTCGTTCAGTGGCCTAATTGAATAATCAGGTTACATTCAGTGGCCAATTTGAACCTTATTCCTAAATATTATCTTCTCCATCAATTTCTATTAGTTCACCCGTTAACTTACTCATTGATTTCAATAAGAAAGATTTTAGGTTCGAACTGTTAATAATAATATGTTATAACAGTGTTTTGTTACATAGTTTGTATAGTGTGTGGTCTTAGATTAGTTTGTTATTCTAGTCTATTGTATAGGAGAGTTAGGTGGTAGCTTTCATATAGGTCACTACCTTGTAATCTCTCTCATCCATCTGAATCAATTTTGAATTCGTTCTCTCATTTGGTATCAGTTAGCGTTAGGCTTTCTCTGTCCTATCTTTTCTCCTCCTCCCGATCATGTCAACGAATTCTTCCGAGCGCACGGTAACAACCACCACCGTGCCTGCTCAGGCCAACACCAATTCCCTAAACACTGCCCATCACTTCGTATCCATGAAGTTAACCACACAAAATTTTCTTTTTTGGCGTACGCAAGTCATTCCCTTCTTGCATGGACAAGGATTGCTGGGCTATATCGATGGTGATCTCACATGCCCTTCGGCAACCATCCCCGCCGCGGATCAAGCCGGCGACTCCGGTGTCATCGTCGCCTGTTCCACCATTCCAAATCCGGCATACACTGCCTAGGTTCAACAGGATCAGTCGATCCTCTCACTTATTATCTCGTGGCTCTCCGATGAGGTAATGCACCTCGCAGTTGGCCAGACCACCACCCGGGAGGTGTGGAACTCCATCACATTGGCACTGGCATCCTCGACGAGAGCCCGGTGCTTGAACCTCCTTGGTCAATTTCAGACGCTCCGGCAGGGGAACAGAACGGCGTTCGAGTACCTGGGTAAGGCGCAGATGATCGTGGAAGCTTTGGTGCTCGCCGGCCGGCCACTCTCCCTCGACGAACAGATATTGTACGTGTTGCGGGGCCTCAGGCCGGAGTTCTGGGCAATGGCGAGTGCCCTGACAGTGACTGCACTCCGGTCAGCCTCTCCCAACTCGCCGACCTCCTACAGGTGCAGGACTTCATTCACGCCGATGAGTTCTCGCCGCCGGATCACATTGGCTCTCCGACGGCTCTCTACGCTGGTCGCGGGAATCACATGGCGGTGGCTCTGGTTCTGGCGGTCGGCAGTCCTTCAACAGTCGTGATCGAGGACGAGGGCGGCACAACCAGGGACGTGGGCGAGGCGGCAATCCACGCTGCCAAATATGCAGAAGCCACGGCCACAGACGCTACGCCGATCCTCCTGCTCCGCATGTGAATGTGGCGATCTCTGGTGATTCTCCGGCAAACGCACAGGTAGATGCATGGTTCTCGGACATCGGCGCCTCCACTCATGCCACACCGGACGAACAGGCGATCGGGCGATCGAAAGTCTACAACGGCGGCAATGTGCTTAAAGTCGGGAATGGCGCATGTTTGAATGTCTCCTGTGTTAGCCATACGGTTATCCCTTCTGAGTCCAAAAATCTTAATATGTCTAATATATTGGTTGTACCGAAATTGTCATTATCTCTCTTATCGGTCTATCGGTTTACTAACGAAAACAATGTCTATTTTGAGTTTCATAAGAATTCTTTTTTTTTTTTTGTGAAGGACTGCACCACCAGGGCGGTTCTTCTTAAGGGACCCACCACGGGCGGCTTATACAAATTGTTGGTGCCACGGTCGCATTTTGCATTTCTCACCGCTAATGCATCGCCCAAAGTTTGGCATCAATGATTGGGTCATCCTCATAAACAAGTCCTACATCGTGTCCTCAAACACTGTCCAGTCACGTCAAATAAAGCCTGTGAGTCAGAAGTGTGTACAACGTGTCAACTTGGCAAATCGGCGCGTTTCCCACTAGATAGAGTTCCTACTACAAGCTTAAATGTTTTAGATTTGGTTTATACAGATATCTGGGGTCCGTCCCCTGTAATTTCTGATTCTGGCTATCGCTATTTTGCTTTATTTGTAGACGATTTTTCGCGTTTTTGCTGGTTTTATCCCTTACGGTTAAAATCAGATATATATAAAAGTTTTGAGTTGTTCCAGGTGATGGTAGAACGACGGTTTTCGCATTCTATCAAAGCTATTTAGTCTGACTTAGGCGGTGAATAGCGTCGCCTTCATAAAGTTTTTCAACTTGGCATTATCCATAGGCAATCATGTGCTTACACACACGAACAAAATGGGCGAGTTGAAGGCTAGAATAGACACATTGTTGAAACCGGTTTGACACTTCTAGACGAAAGCTCAGCCTCGCTGAAATATTAGGATTATGCCTTTGAAATAGCAACTCGATTAATCAATTGCCTACCCTCGTCTGTCATACAGTTCCAGAGTCCACACTATTGTCTACACAGAACACCACCAACATACACCTTCTTTCGAGTCTTTGGGTGCAAAAGCTATCCCTATCTAAGGCCGTATAATCGGCACAAAATGGAATATCGGTCTGCACCATGTGTCTTCCTAGGTTACCCAGTTTCATTTAAGGGATGCCGTTGCATGGACCTAACCACGGGAAAGATTTTCATCTGCCGTCATGTCCGGTTTGATGAGTCCATCTTCCCTTTTGCTGTGCAGACTCCTTTGCAAGTTGACTACGGGCTAGTCTCAACCACTACACCCTGGGGGGCCGGGCCCATAGTGGTACATCCCCGTCACACAGCGGTGGTAGCGGAGCAACCACTGGCACAGGAACCAGGGCCTATGGCTATAGAGGCTCCTCCAGCAGCTGCAGTGCCCCGTGCACAAACACAAGAAGGCGGGCACATCATGCACACACGGCGCAAGACCCAAGGTACGGGCGAGCAATTTTTCACCTTTAACACAACGGTGGACCCCACCTGCTACCTACAAGTTGTCGGACACCCACAATGGCGAGATGCATGGATCAAGAGTTTAATGCTCTTTTGCATAACAATACATGGCAATTAGTCCCGGCTACACCGCATATGAACATTATTGGCTGCAAATGGGTGTACCGCACCAAACGCAACGCCAACGGCTCAGTTGAGCGCTACAAGGCGCGTCTGGTAGCAAAGGGGTTCAACTAGGTTGCGGGTGAGGATTTCTTTGACACATTCAGTCCAGTGGTCAAATCAACCACGGTACGTATATTATTTTCTCTGGCAGTGTCAAACACGTGGACTCTGCGTCAGTTGGATGTTCACAATGCGTTTCTCAATGGACACTTGTCCGAAACGGTGTACATGAAGCAACCACCTGGCTATGAGGATCCCACACATCTGGACCATGTCTGTCATCTTCAACGCTCTCTCTATGGGTTGAAACAGGCTCCTCCGGCTTGGTTTAAAAGGTTGCATGACTTTTTAACATCGACAGGGTTTGTGGCATCCAAGATAGATGTATCGCTCTTTTACTACACGGGCAGCTCCCGTGTTTATTTACTTGTCTACGTCGACGACATCATCAAGATGGGCAACGACTCAGCTCTCATCGACACTCTCCTACATCGGCTATCCACAACCTTCAAGATTAGGGATCTCGGCACACCGAGTTTCTTTCTGGGCATCGAGACTCTATTCTCCGGAAGTGGGTTCTTACTATCTCAACGCAGGTATATGAAGGACATTTTAACCCGAGCAGGTATGGCCGACTGCAAGTCCTTAGCAATTCCAGCCTCAGTTACACAGCTGGCTATACCTTCACTTAACCCGTTTGATAATCTGACACAGTATCGTCGAATTGTGGGGGCCCTACAGTATCTGACTATCACTAGGCCGGACCTCTCCTACTCCATCAACCGTTTATGTCAGTTTATGCACTCTCCCACAAAGGATCACTGGGCGCTGCTCAAACGGGTCCTGCGGTATGTTAAGGGGACACATGACTATGGACTACGGTTGACAGTGTCTTCATCCTCCGATCTACATGCCTTCACTGATTCCGACTAAGGCGGGTGTCCAGTGGACCGCAAATCCACCAGTGGGTACGCGGTGTTTCTCGGGGATAATCTCGTTTCGTGGGTGTCTCGCAAGCAACGCACTGTAGCCCGGTCTTCGATTGAAGCCGAATACAAAGGGCTAGCTGATGTTACTACCAAGGTGACTTGGGTTATCTCGTTACTTCGTGAACTCGGCTTGCACTCCAACAAACCAGCCACATTATGGTGTGACAATCAAGGGGCTATTTATCTTGCTGTCAATCCTGTTTTTCACGCCCGAACAAAACATGTTGAAATCGACTATCACTTCATTAGGGACAAGGTAGCATCCGGGGAGTTCATTGTTAATTTTGTCTCAACAAAGGATCAGCTGACAGACATCTTCTTGAAGCCACTACCAGCACCGCGTTTTCAGGCTCTACGAGACAAGCTCAATGTTGTTTCCTCCCAACCTTGTGCTTGAGGGGGTGTGTTAATAATAATATGTTATAACAGTGTTGTGTTACATAGTTTGTATATTGTGTGGTCTTAGATTAGTTTGTTATTCTAATCTATTGTATAGGAGAGTTAGGTGGTAGCTTTCATATAGGTCACTACCTTGTAATCTCTCTCATCCATCTGAATCAATTTTGAATTCGTTCTCTCATCTGAACCCCATCCCAATCAAAGTTGACATAATTATTACTCTATTTTACTCTTATTAAATTACTATTTTTATTACGCGCTTTGCGCGAATGAGATAATGCCCAATGATTATTTTTAAATAAGTATTTCAAAGTATAGCAATGCAATATTATATAGGAGATGTTTATGCATAGGTAAATAAATGTTGAATTTGTTTATTTAAATCGATAATTTAAAGTATATAAATTCAAGATAATATATGAGAGATTGATTATAATTGTTACTAAAATAAATGTTTGCAATTTTGTAATAAAGCTAGTCTAAATAGTTAGTCTTAAAGCAATAGTCTAAATAAATACTACTTTTGGTTTATATTTCTCTAATTCTTCTTAATTCTCTTTTGAGTAGCAATGTCAATGTTTTCATCTTCAGTATATGTCCTCTCTTTTTTTTTTTTAGTAGTGTGTCATATGCAATTAGGTTACCGGTGGCAGATAAAGAGATTCATCATGCAATGAGATTATGGTGTAGGAAGTTTTAGATTTGTCTTGTTGTGTATATAACTGAGATTTTAGTTATAATATGAACTCTTTATTTTACAAACACATATTGATATTTAGTAGTTGTAGTTTTTCCCATACATGTTTCATGTGGTGTGAGATGTGGGTCGTAGGTTATCATGTGAAAGTATTGAACAAAATATTAATATTTATTATAGGGAAAATGACACTTTTCCCCCCTGTGTTATATGCTTATAGCACTTTTTCCCCCTGAGTTATTCATGCATTCACATTTGCCCCCTCAATTATTATAGAAGTGGCGGTTTTCCCCCCTGATAATATTAAATGGACATTTCTACCCTTAAAACAAATATTTTATTTATTTCTCTTCTTCAACAAATTATATTGCTTATACGTAGGGATGACCACGGTTCGGTTCGAACTGAACCAAACACTATAGCAATCAAATTAAAAAATTTCGGTTATGATTCATAACATAACCCAATATTTGGGTTTCCGTTTATTAAAATCGTGAACTGGAAAAAAATGGATCATGAACCATGAACCGGAGGTTCAAATCGGAACAACTACTAGCAATAGCTTAAATTAGAATTATAATATTTGCAAATAGTGTATGTTTTTTTCCGCATTTATATTGATGACTCTCACATATAAGTATATATAATCGCGGTTTGAGTTTTATTTTGAACTGTCGGTTCACGATTTTGGATCCAATTTGAACGGTTGGTTCAAACTTTCTTTTAAAATTTTATTTTTTTATTTTAAAAATATTCTAAATTCAACACTTAATGTATTTTATTTTTTCAAATTGTGGTTATAATTTGTTGGAGAAGAAAAATAAATGAAATATTCATTTTAAGAGTAAATATGTCAATTTAATATATCAGGGGGAAAAACTGTCACTTAAATAATTTAGGGGGAAAAAGTGCTATAAGTATATAACAAAGGGGGAAAAAGTGTCATTTTCTCTTTATTATATTTGTATAAAATACTTGGTAAATAAATATATATAACATATTTTATATTATAACTTTGATATTTAATTACAAAATAATGTAAAAAGAAGACAATGGACAATGTAGTGAATATAATAAATTAATAAATTTGAAGGCAATGAATTTTTGAATTGTAGAAAATAAAGCTAATATAAATAATGAAATTATATTTCTTTTAAATTTTTTTATAATGAATAATTTTTTTTTAAATAAAGCATTATAGACATCTAATTCTAAATTAATTAAATGCATATGTACTATTTTTTGTTGTAGTTACTAATTTATTTAATTTAATAAGAGTAATAAAGTGTCGTACATACTTTTTATCAATAATAATGAAATCAACGATTTTTTTTTAAATTTTTATTCCTTGTTGAGACAAATTGTTTTGAGAGTTTGTCAATGACTATTGCTACAATTGCTGTCAATAGATGATGATAATAAATAATTCAAAATTTATGGTTACAATAGATATTGTTATAATGATATAGTAAACATTAACTTACAAATTTCTTTAGAAGTTTTCATGCATTGATAACATTCTGATGTGTAAACTTGTTCAATTGGAGCTAGTAGAATGTTAACATTGTCAATTATTTGGAAAATGGTCCTACCGTTTTAGAGCCATGTGTAATTGTATTTATGATCAACAACTTTGTAGTTAGGCCGCGCAGGGCTGACAATGATTTATGAACAAATTTATCCAATAAAAAAATAATAGTATAATATTTGTAAAATAATGTACAATTGTACCATTATAAATAAATACAAAAAATATTAATACATACCATAATGACTTGAATCATTCTAATAATGCAAAAGCAAATATTAAGTTTTGTTCTAAATAATCAAAAGAATATTAATTAAACATTAAAAAAAAAAACTTAACCTAAATTTGTTTATAAAAAAAAATTCAAGAAAATCAAATGATTTTTAAAGTTCCTAATTTATAATCTTTGAATGCTATGTATTTAGTCGGGCTAATTATTTGAACAATGTTTATATTTAATTTTATATTATATATTTTTTAATACATTTTAACATATTCATAATATATGTTTAATAATTATGCCAACTCTAATTGGGATGGGGTTCGAACCTAAGACCTTTCTTATATAAATTAATGAGTATCTTAAGAATAATAAATAGTTAATGGAATATTGCGGAATTTAGGGTTATTTAAGAGAAGAAAATAATAAAATAGAGGGTAAATAAGGAAAATTATTAAAAAAATACTAAAATAAAAATAATATGAACCATTCATTTTAAGAAACAACTACGGACATTTTTTTTGTTCTAGTTAAGGGTCTAACATTATTGACTCT